CCCCCCCCCCTCCCCCGGGTTATCACACGTAGTCAGATGTTACGTGCGTGACATTCCCATTGTAAACGGTGAGTTTACAAGACTGTGATACTCTTGTTTTCCAGGGTTTTTTTTTCTTCATTTGAGATGGTTTCAAATAATTAATTCTTAGTAGCCGGAGAAAACACCAGCGCCTCTAGATATGGGACTTTAAGGTAGTCAATCTGGCACAGCTCGTTAAGTCGATCAATTTCGCARTAACTGATACAATAGCGGAGATCAAAGAAAGGTCGCCCTTGTTGCCCGCGCACAGTCTACAAGCAGAATACTCTAATAACTATAAGGAAAGCCTTGATACCCAAGGTGAAGAAACAATCCCTCGGGAAGCTGTATTCAAAGTCTACAAACGAAGATGGTACATTCTCACTCTTTACACTGCAATCGCTTTAAACTGTAACATGGCGTGGAATGCCTGGGGACCGATATCGGAGCCTTGTAAAATCATATTTGGCTGGGGAAATTGGCAGGTTTTGTTCCTTGCGAGTTGGGCTGCCACTTCGTTAATCTTGAGCGCTGTCCCTTCGACTTATCTCATGGATATGAAAGGTAAGGATCTTATGCAGTCTATGCTGCTATGGCTGTTGACTCGATAGTTTATACTTTTTCAACAGCCATACACACTAACTTGATCTCACTTTGTAAATATTTGTTCTGATAAATAAAATTTCAAAACTGTTATAACTCTATATCATTATTCCTTTTTTACTGTAATTTTTGTGTGTGAAATAAACTTGACTTGACTTGACCTGACCTGACTAGTGTCTATACCAGAACTTTCATTACACAAAGACGAATACACAAAAGAATTTTGTGTAATAATAATAATAATAATAACAACTTTATTTAATGAGGGTGGCACTAAATAGTGTACTACACTAATAAACTTGTGGTCCTCAACATAAAACTACTAATATTTACAAATTTAAAAATATAAAATATATGTAATAACAACTATCAACATGAACTTATAAGAAAAATTGACTATAGTACAATAAAACAATGCATCAAGATTAAAATGAACTATATATAAATTTAACTGTGAAGCTCAGCGACACTACGCTCACGCGGACGACGCAGCGACGCAGCTGAACGTAATAATATACTTCAGCAACGTCGAAACGCCGCCCCATGAACACGACGCCGCCAAACTTCACAGCCAAATTAAACAGGAATCTATATTATAAATGTAAAAGGGTAAAATCGAAATGGAATAAACTGAAAAGAAAATTAGGGGGAAAAATAATAATAATAATAAAAGGAAACTATAGATAAAAATGTGGCAAAAAAGTCTGCTCTTCGAGAAATTTCCGGCGAAGAGCGCGTTTAAACAATTGAACTGTTGCTTGTTTTTTAATGTCCGCACTTAAATTGTTCCATTTTTCTATGGCGCTAACTATGAATGTTCTTCCTCCTTCAGTCTTYCTATTATAGCGTGGTGTAATGAAATTTAAGCTTGAGAATCTAGTGTTCCTAGAATGTACAGAACTGTTCAGTTTTAGAGCCTCTATCAAGTACTTAGGTACAGCATGCTGTGTTCTCTTATATAATAAAGTACACTTTGAGATATAAGTATCTATGAAGAAAGGCAGCCACTCCAATTTATTAAATAACGGTACTGAAGGTGCTCTTGACTCAGCATTAAGTATGACTCTTGCTGCTCTTTTCTGTAGGCGCAGAATCCTTAACAGACAGTCTTTAGTACATGATGTTTGCGAAACAACGCTAGCATAACTAAACACTGGTTTTATCATAGCATTATAGTAAGCCAATCGTTGTTTTATGGGTAGGCAGAATTTTATCTTATTCAGTACTCCAATTCTTTGTGAGATTTTCTTGCACATTCTGTCCACATGATCTGAGAAGGAGAGCTGACTATCGACATCTAGGCCAAGTAATCGGACAGTGTTCATTTGCTCAAGCCTTTTCCCGCTGGATGTAGTTATAGATAGTAAGTTGGAGAGTACTTTATCCTGAAGGCGTTTGCCATTCACAAGCAAAGTCTTGGTCTTTGACTCGTTGAGTGGCAGCTTATTGCAATTAGTCCAGTCCTCTACATCCCTCAAGGCGGAGTTCAAGGTTTCCTGTAACTTGCCAGTGTTCGAGACATCGACAGAGTAGGAAAGAGTTGTGTCATCCGCATATAGGTCAATGTTGACATCTGCAGACTTGATATGAAGCGGCAGGTCATTTATAAACATAATAAACAACAAGGGACCGATTATACTTCCTTGAGGCACCCCATGAGGAACATTAGCAAGATCAGAGATATTGGAACCAATAGATAAAAAATAATAAATAATGTTCTGGTTGAGTGATAAAAGCTATTAGTCACTAAATATATACTATTTGTTAGTATCAACTTTGTTTTTATTTCATGGTTTTACTGCATGCGCTCTATACGATAAAATATATCTTAGCTAGCGCATTGGTCTAGGTTTAGGCGATATAAGTGGCCATCGCCGGACTATCCAATGCAAACAATAGAGTGCACGCACTAAACTCGTGAATAATAATTAGTACTAATTAGCAGTAATTCATACAGAATCCTTTGTTTCCTGTTGTTTGATTATCACTATTTAGTACTTAAAAATAGTATTTTTTCACGGATTTAGGGCGAGCACTCTATATCCATGAAACTTTAGTAACACTAAATAGCACAATTTCATGCAAATTCCATTGTTTTCTATTGTTTAATTAGCACTATTTTGTACTATTTAGTAATTAGTGTTTCACGGATTTGCACTCGAGGAGGTCGAGATGGAGACAGAATCTCATTTATAAAATTTATATTAGGTCTACTCATACAACTAAATTTCAGTGAAATGCCTCTAAATTTCAGAAAAGGTCCCTAGTGATGTTTATACAATGATATGTCCTCCCAAGTACGAATCGTCCTGTACGACGGCTAGGGCACATTGAAAGTGTGAATAACTTCCCTTTGGGGTTCTGCGCCTTCAAAGTCTGTATGTAGATGAGTTRACTTTACCAAAACCGTTCTGAATGAAATCTCCAAGGAACAGAACCCCAAAGAGAAATATTTACTCTTCCGGTTGACGTCGCCTTCGTAGATTTTGAAAGTATCATTTAAGTCCCTAATAACACATACCTTAAGCTCCGTTTACACTAACGATTTTTGCGGCGATTTTTGTGGCAATTTTCGGAAATATGAAATCTTTTGTCTCACCTTTCAAAAGAGACATTCGTCTAGGAAAATCTTGGTATCCTGAAAAAAACTTTACAAGTAAATTCTTTACCATTATTTATTATGGAAAAAATCGCAAAAAAATCACAGCAAAAATCACAGCAAAAATCGCCGCAAARATCGCTAGTGTAAACGGGGCTTAACATGACGGTCACCGTGACTATAACTTTCTGCATTATTCATATTCATCATTATTTATATAGAATATTAATTGAAATATGACGCGTTCCTAAGCCTGCTTCTCTCGTGTTCCACAGCTCCCAGCGTGTTTATATCATACGCGCGCGACTTTTTATATTCCTTGACTATTTGTTTAAAAGCAAATAACCTGATTATGGTCGTTGAAATAGTTCATTGTTTTCAATCGTCAGGTCTAAGAAAATCAGTCATATCATGCGCTTCCCTACTGACTGCTGGCAAAGTATTCCAAGTTATTCCATCCAGTGATCCACTAACAAGAACCATCCTGTTAAACATTGGTCAATGCATCTCTATGTTGAGCACTCCTGTCGGACTAGGAGCACCTCCATCGATCTCCGCAACGTGGTTCCCTCCAGAAGAGCGTACAACTGCAACAGCTATCTCAACACTAGTGGCATACATTGGGCTTCCTGTGGCGTTCATTATTGGTCCATATATGGTCCAAATACTTGAGATAACTTATTCACCTCAAACGAACAATACTATGAATTTAAATGTTAGTATTTCTAATTATACTAAAGTTTATGACATAGACGCAATGAGCTCTGACCTAACCAAGCATATGGGCGTACATTTAGGTATAAGTATGTTTCTATTGGTCTGCGCATTGCTGTATTTCCCGGACAAGCCACCCTTGCCGCCATGTGAGACGTCAGGTGGCCCTCCTCATGAATATGGTGAAAGTATCCAAGCACTTCTCTTCGATCGATCATACTTGCACTTAGTCGTTATATTTGCTTTAAGCTATGGGGTTTACTTTGGCTGGATCTCTGTGTTAGCGTTGGCTGTTAAGCCGTTTGGTGTCGATGAGTCGTTGGCTGGTTGGCTTGGTGCTTCGGCCACTACAGCTGGGATCTTTTCTGGATTATGTCTGGCAAGGTGAGTGACTGATCCCTAGACTAATGGTAAAGTAAAAACTAACTATACAGGGGAGTAGCCAGGGCTCTAAGAGGTCCCTCCCTCCCCCC